CCATGTGGGTGTAGCGCTGTTTTCAAATCTGTCAGATAGTACAGAGAAACTTCTCCCTCTATTATCTGCAAGAGAGAGGGGGGGGGGGCGTGGCTTCGGCTATGAGAACATGTTACATGTTCCACCCTAAAAACAGGTGGAACATGTAACCTGTCCCAAAGGTAAACTTATCCTTTAAATAGGGTTCAGATTTAGCACCTGAACATCACCAATTTTTCACCAGTAATTAACCTGCCTCGAACTGAGCCCAGGCACATAGGCTATGGTATTGTTTATAGCAGGGGTCTCCAAACTTTTTAACTACTTGCCCTCCACAGAGGACTTAACCCCCTTCCTGACCAGGCCATTTTTTGCATTACGGCGCTGCGCTACTTTAACTGACAATTGCGCGGCCATGCAACGCTGCACCCAAATGAAATTCACATCCTTTATTCCCTACGAATTGAGCTTTCTTTCGGTGGTATTTGATTGCCTGTGCAGTTTTTATTTTTTTTGCGCTATAAGCAAAAAAAGACCGAAAATTTTGAGAAAAAAAATATTTTGGACTTTTTGCTATTAAACATTTCCAGTAAAAAACTGAAAAAAATCAAATTTCGTCATAAATTTAGGCCAAAATGTATTCTGCGACATGTCTGCTAAAAAAAAAATCCTGATACATGTAAATTAATTGGATTACGTGAAAGTTATAGTGTTTACAAATGGTGGTATAGATAATGGGATTTTTTTGACACTGGGGGGAACTAACTTGGTGTCACTGACACCCCAGTGACCCCAATACAGTGCTCAGTGCTAGAAAAAAAAAAAAAAGCACAGACACTGTACTAATAGCACTGGGCAGGAAGGGGTTAATGTGAGGGGTGATTAAAGGGTTAACTGTGTGCTGGGAGTGTTTTACTAGGGGGCGGGGGGTATGTTCTTCACTGTAAGCACACCAATCGGGATGGCTGTACTGTGCATAGCCACCCGGAGCAGTGTGGTTGAGCTGAAAGGGAGGAAGGTTGTTTGTAAACAAAACAATCTTCCTCCCTATCGGAGATGATAGGTAATAACTGGGCGCTGGTGGGTAATTACCGGCCGGGACCCGGTGATTGACATCTGCAGCTGCGAATGGTGGCGCAGCTAGGCCTCCTACGCCCCCTATATATATATATATATATATATATATATATATATATATATATACATACATACACACACGTGATTCTGCTCACCGGGGCCGCCCTGTAGTAGTATATGTGTTATAGGGCGGTCCTTAAGAGGTTAAAGAAAGGGACAATTTACTCTCCTTCAGACATTAGAGGGGCTGTACTGTGCCCAGTGGGAGTAAACAATGCCTGTTCTTTGGTATTAGGGGGGGAGAAATAGTTGGTGTTGTTGGGAGGAACAGTGCTCCATTTTTATTGTCAGTAGAAAAAATGATGCCCCATCATAGGTGTCAGTTGAAGGAATAGTGCCCCATTGTTGATGTCAGTGGTAGGAATTATGCCCCATTGTTCATGTCAATGGCAGGAATAATGCTTCAAGGGCCAGATAAAGGCAAGCAAAGGGCCGCATTTTGGAGACCTCTGGTTTACAGCAACAGATCAAGCCATAAAACTAAACTCTGTGCAATATATAAAAACACACAAAGTAATGCAATTCTGAATTCACTGATACATCATCATCTTAGTGTATTTTTCTAAATACAAGCAATACTTGAATCTGATCTGGTATCAACCTTTTGTAAAACCCAGCACAACAGAGCTCAAAGAAGGGAAGGGAATAGCAGCACAGGGAAAGAGTAGTGACATGACCGCATCAGTCTGCTGCTTCTCCTTTTACACTCCAGTCACAAGCTGGAGGGAGGGAGGACAACACCTGCAAGTAAAAGTAATACTGCAGCAGAGAAAAATGAGGTCTCCTGTCCCATCAGGGAGGTCTTTGAGGCAGAGCTGTGTAAATCTCAGGACTGGATGGAGAGAAATACAAATCCTGCGGCAGGTAAAACCGATCCCTTATACAGTATGTATTTCACACCACACTCCATTTGTCCTTTCCTCCATTTTTTTTTCTTTTTTTTTTATAAATGAAGTTTATTGTATTTCAAACTTCTCAGCACAGTTATCATATCAGAGTTCCACCTTTTGTCAATCCCTGATATGCTTTATAAGTGAATATGACTCATGTGGCTATACAGATATCAAGCTGTAGTGCATATTTTCCCAGGCAATGAAGAACAATGTAGTGTGTATTTATTCTTCAGGCACTGAGAACAATTAAGGTCTATGGACAGGGCAGGGCCGTCTAATGCGGGACAAAAGGGGCAGCTGGCCCAGACCCATTCATTGTCCGCACTGCCCGCAAATAGTTGGTAAGTGGAGTTAGCTACCAATCAGGAGATGAGGGCAGAATTGAATGTTGGGGGTGCTAGTGATTGGTTGGGTTTTATGTCTGCAGTCTGTCTGTGTGGTGTTTGGCCAGCTCAATAAGGTAAACCTTGTCCGGGAAAAGTGCCTGTCAGGAACAGTCAGACCGACCCCTCTCCCTCACCATGTCCTACAAGCTGCAGACCATCAGCTCGCTGAAGAACTTCTTAGCTGGAGGGTTTGTCGGGGTGTGTCTGGTGCTCGTCTGACATCCTCTGGACACCAGGAAGATGAGACCACTGGGGATGGGGGGTGTCAATGCAGGGGTTCTGTGTAATGATGGGGGTACTATGGAGGGGTTTTGATGGTACATATATTTTTTGATAGATTAGGTTTTCAATAAAGATTAAATAAGCAAGTTTATTTTTAATTGTTGTTGGGAGGCTAGGACCCTTCAATTCCTTTGTATTCTAGGAGAGTTATCCTCCCAATCAATTTGAAGGCATGGTCCACTGACTTTCAGTGATTTCCACATCCAATAAAGTAGTGAGCATATAGCTTAAAAAACAGTATGAGTATTCAGTGAGAAGCTGGAAGCTTTAAGCTATGCGCTCCACCATACTTCATGAAGGAGCCCAAGAAAAATATGTGCCCATGGTCCAATCAATATTAAAGATAACCCTGGGGCAGGGAATGTGTTCTAGGCATATCTTGCATACCTCCTAACAGTCCTGGATTCTGCAGCACTGTCCCAGATTTTCATACAATTCCCACAACAACCCCACTGTCCACATCACTATTCTGCACAGCCGGTATGGGGCAGAAAAGAAATTATAGTGGAGGTCAAATAAACAGCAGCTGGTCCACAATTTACAAAGTGTACTTCAGCCAGTCAGGAGGTTCTGGCGCTGCCATGTGACAGCATCACCCCTTTTGTGACTGGCTGCAGTTCCAGAACCACTAAATGGTTACAAGTTAGAATGATGAAGTACACTTACTAAACTATCCCCCCATACTTACCTGAGCTTGATCTCAATCCATTGATATGCATGAGAGCAGTGGCTCTCTTGGCTTTCTCTCCTAATTGGCTCCTGCTGTTGTCAATCACAACCAGCGAGGAGTGGTTGGATGTGGGGCAAGCCATGCTGTGTGTTACAGTGGTAGTAAACCGCAGCTATAAAAACTTTTTTATATATATATATATATATATATATATATATATCCTCCAAGGTAATGTCATAATATGCTAGTACGCATCACATACTAGCACACTATGAAGGACTTACCTTAAAACAAAACCCTCCAGCAGTGCACTGTCACCACTGCAGAGGCTTCCATCTTCACCCGGGTCTTCCTTCTGAGTTCACGAGCTCAGGCCATCTGACTGGCCAGCCTGCAATGACATCACTCCTGCGCATGTGCACGGGAGTCCTGGGCCATGGTACGGGTATGCTGTTCCTTCAGAGCACATGTGCCGGCTCTCAAAAAGAGTGAATATCTCATGCAAGTTTAGGAGATATTCATTTTACCTAGAGGTAAGCTGTATTATAAGCTTACCTGTAGGTAAAAAAAGTATTAAAAAAAGTTTATTACCACTATGGACATAGAGCGGGGCATTCGGTAGGGGGGAGGGTAGAAGCCAGGAGCACTGGAACCCAAGAAGAGGAGGATTGGGGCTGGTCTGTGCAAAACCACTGCACAGAGCAGGTAAGTATAACAGGTTTTTTATTTAGAAAAAAAAAAGTCATAGGTTTACAATCACTTTAAGGAATACAGACTGTACAGTGTATATGCTATAGAGGTTTAGACTATTTAACCATGCTCATTTAAGCCACGCCTAATATTTAGCACAATTTAGCCATACCTACTTTCACCATGACATGCTCCATGCACCACACATATTCTCTGTCTCAGGGTGTCCCTCATTCTTAAGTTACAAAGTTGGAAGGTATTCATTCTGTGTCAAGTATATTTTTCTTTTGTAAAAAGAACTAGTATAATGTACTATTGTATGTTTTCTGCTGTGTATGCAGAGCTACTTCATGGTGGATCCAACTACCAAATTAAAAAAAAAAAAAAAAAAATTTAATGGTTCCTATAAGGAGATTTCTGACTCCTCTAAGCATCCTTTGCATCCACCAAGACACGTCCAAAGAGGGACAAAAAAGGGGAAAAAAATAAATAGAAAAAAAAGTAAAATTGTAAATTGGAGTGTTGAGTTGGCCCCTCATTCCCTGCTGCCTTAGGCCAGCCAGAGACAGTTTGAATGTTGGCCATTTCAGCAGGAACCGGCTGAGAGTCAAACCATGTACAGTATGCTCATGCTGAATGTACCAAGTTGATTGATCGATCAACTTGGGTACAACCTGCCTACCGGATTAACTTGTGATTTTCACTAGCGGCTGCTTTAGCCCTAGCAATAATCACTGTCTTCTCCTGACAGGTACAGCTTCCCCTGCAAGTAGAAGACAATAGTTTGGCAGGAGGGATTCCCCTGTCAGCACTGTTTGTGCAACCCGTGGTTGCAGGAAAGAACTTTTCACTGTCTATGGCCTGCCTTAGACTCATGAACAGTGTTTTCAGTAATGCGGTCCTGTATTTTAATGCCTTCCTGTTCTCCATGTTCACAGTTTCAGTTGTTTGTTGCATACATACCATAGGTGCCAAAGATGTAGCTAAACACAGCTTGCAGCTCCTTATTCTTGGTGAACTCGCTGACAACCTCTGTTACACTGCGAGAAGCATAGCGGAAGAATGGGGACAACAACTTCACCAGGCCAGTTCTGCACAAGAAGAGGGCAATCGGCAAAGGCAAGTACTTCAGGACACCCAAGTCACTAACACGATGAGCAACTTTCTGCAATGAAAAAATGCAATTAATATACCCTGTCTGTATTGGCACTTGCAAGTGCATGTAAAGTTCATACTCAGAAAACATCATATTCATTATATATATATATATAATAATTACCCATATACAACTGTAATAGTATTCTGCGTTCAACGTATGTGTAAACCCTCACTGTGTAAAACAACCATTCAGTTTATGAATAGAAATGAAAGGCAAAACATCAATATTATCAATATTTTTTTTTCTGCTGTTTCATAAGCAATACCATTTAAGCGCCGAATGCAGATGAAAACAGAGCTGGGAGAGGAGAACAGCAACCCACTGATCTTCCCAGTGAATAGCTGTGTGTGTGGGTGCAGAAGCCTGTTCATTATAGGAGAGCACACTGAGTTCGCAACACATCTAAAGAACTGACCACGCTGTGCTCTCTTGCCTAGTGTGGTCAGTTTTTAATAGGATAGCAGGGAGACTGGCAGGAACACCAGGGATATCACACAAAGGAAGCAATACAAAGAGAACAGGATACCTTTTCATGGTAGAGTAGAAACGTGTCAGGAATATGAAATGTTGTGTTTACATACTCTTGAAGGCCAAATAAATCACAAAAAAGCAGATTTTTGCTCCTCACATTCACATCGAGGAATAGACTCTTTGGGTATTCAAGCTAAGGTGGTATTGGTGTTGTAATCCTATGTCAAATAAAACTATATCATTTGCCATCATCACATTTTTAAAAATGAGCTGATATAATTTCATAAAACGTATAATTGGTGTAGCCTCTGACAAATTGCACTAACTAGTCAGAGTTCCCATCAATGTTGACTCTTATGCAGGCCATACATGGGTCGAATTCTGAACGATTTTTCGTCCGAAAATCGAAAACGTCGTTTGCTCAGTAATCCGATGGTGCCATCAATGATTTCGAAAATCGTCTGACCAAGTCATAAAGTTCACCCCATATAGCAGGCGAAACTTCTGTTCCTTCCAGGTCATGGCTCATGCGCCTTTTCTTTTTTGGAAAAAATGACAGTACGATTTGACCATCATTGAGTCGAAAATTGGTCATTTTTCATGAATTTTCCAACATGCCCAATCACCAAAAAGGGGAGGAACCACGATAATCGGCTGGTGCCATTGACCCACTAACAGAGTGAAAATCGGCCGATTATTCTTAGGTCCGATTTTCGGACCAAAAATCGGTTGAATTTTGACCCATGTATGGCCGACATTAGTACAAAAAAGGTTTTAAATTTCCCACAGTGGTCAGGGCCAAGAAGGCCCAACAAGTACCTAGGCCTGGTCATGAAGGCAACCAGAGTCATTCCAGGGAAAGATGAGGCGTAAGAGTCAGCAAGATCTTATCCATAGTCCTACTGTTCCTATGTAATAATAATAGTATTACACATTTCCTGACATAAAATATGGGCATTAAACATTACTGACATCCAAGATTACCAGTATAATTCTTTTTTGTGATTCTTGAAATATACAGTGTGAACTTGGGCATATTATATACATTTGCGTTTACATTATGCGTTATTGCGTTTGTGTATACATTTATGGGACTATTCTTGGTAAGACCAGTTTCCAAATGGCCAACAAACACATACTCTCAATCTTATACACACAGCCTCTTGTTCATGAACAGCAAACTGTGACTGTAGATTAGTCCATTTTCTCTGTCACGGAGCGGCACTTAGTATGTGGAATTTTACCACTGAAGTTTATTTAGAATGTATTGATAAAAGTGAATAGCAGGACGTCTCCCAACATCCCGTGGGAATTTCAGCACAAAGTCATCTAAAGAAGGTGTGGACCTTATTTATCAGCGATCTTTATTATGGTGTGTTTTTATTGCTCTAAGATTCACATTTTTTTTCTCTGCTATTCCCTACAGAAAGTTTTGTGTAAGTATTTCAAGCAGTTTTCAATAAAAATACTCAGATAAATTAGTATTAATGCAAAAAGGAACACAGCAGGGCGCCAGGTCAGTGAGAGTAAAAACAGTAGAACTTTATTCAAAGAGCACTTACATTTAAAACCTCCACAGTCAGTGTCCTGAGTCAGTACAATATACAGAGACAGCCAGGGGCGGACTGACCATTCACTCGGGCACTCGGGCCCCATAAAATGCCCCTGGTACCTTTTATAGGCTTTTTTGGGTGTGTTTTGAGTGTGGGCAAGGACGCAGGGGCCCCATGATCCCCAATTGCCTGGGGGCCCCATGAGTTGTCAGTCCGCTCCTGGAGACAGCTCTCTCCAGGGTGGTGGAGCCGACTTGATGAAGGAGGTGGAGCCAGTGGTGTATTTAGGGTTTTTGTGCTGCCCTAGGCAACACAAAAATCGTCTACACACATGGACACCGATCAACACAAACCCCCATTCCCCCTCCCATGGAGAGAGAATGACATTGACCAACAACAACCCTGCACCCCACCTGGGAGAGCCTTCCAATACCCCCCTCGGCGATAGAAATACACTCATCTTCACAGCTCTTCACATCCCCGGGAGTGAGAGCCAGGCTCTACATACACCATCAAACAGGTCGCAGCCTCTCTTGGATCCCACCTGGTTCCCATGATGCACATGTCCCTTCTTTCATGCCTTCTTCTAGGGGGAGGTGCTGCCCTCCTGAAAAATGCTGCCCTAGGCAAGTGCCTTGTTTGCCTTGTGGCAAATACACCCCTGGGCGGAGCCTCAGAAACACGTTGTGGCCAGCTCACCTGTCTCTCACGGTACCTGTCAGTTAACCCGGCCATCTGGCGGGATCTCACAAGGAGACGCTGTGGACTTCCATCTCCAGTGGGTCACTTTTTATGCCCTGTAGTGATTGTCGGCTCCACCACCCTGGAGAGAGCGGTCTCTGCACATTGTACTGACTGAGAACGCTGACTGTGGAGGTTTTAAATGTAAGTGCTCTTTGAATAAAGTCCACTGTTTTTACTCACGCTGACCTGGTGCCCTGCTGTGTTCCTTTTGCATATCTACTGAGGGATTCCCCACATCCTTGGCAAGGTGCCGGTGATTGTGTGTGCCTTAGCACATTTCCTCAATCACTACTACCATCTGGAAGGAGTGTTTAACTGACATACGCTGGTTCTTGCACATTTGCTAGTTTTGTTACATTGTATCCTGTGACATTTGTTACTTATTTGCCTTCTTATGTGGATCCTTTATTTGTTTAGCATTCACAATTATATTCCACAATCATTAGAGCGCCGGATATGCTTGTAATTTTTACAAGGTGTCATATAAATTAGTACTAATGCCCGATCTACACTAGTGTGGGCCGCATGGCCCGCGTTTGCACCGGTATAGCAGCCCATTCATTTGAATGGGCTGTTGTGCACACATTTCACGCAAGGAAAAAGGTGCATGCACCTTTTCTGAAACGCATCCGCATGGAAACCACATGGTCTTTTTTTTTGCATCGATTCCCGCACCCGCAACTAGCCTGCAGCAACAGGGCTAGTGTGAACCTAGCCTAAAAGACAGGTCAAACTCAGATGAACATATTCCCATTGTGACAGTGCTAGGCTCTGCCATGATGTTAGAAAAGGTAAATGGCACACAGGGTTCTCTCAGATGCAGATTGAGGGGCTCTAGAATATGTGTTCAGAGTGGAGAAAATTGAGTTTTCAGTTTTCTCCAGGTTTTGTACTTTCTGCATTGGGTTCTGGAGTCCAGAGGCTTCAAAGAGTTTTGGGAGGGAAGAAACCTCTAAACCTATGTCCAGGTCTTGCCAGAGACAAGGAGGCCGTGTGTGCACAATGATTATAATCAAGGACCTAGCAGTGATTCAGGGCTCCACACAGCAAACCAAACAGGAGGTCAACTGCACAGTGGTCAGGGCGTATGCCAGAGCATCAGGGGCTGTGAGACAGGTACAGAGTGTTGCATGTGAGCTCAGCAGTGCTGAAAGACTGTTTGAGGGGCCAGACAAAGGCCTAAGCTTTAGACTTGAGCAGCGGTACTGCAAGAAGGCTTAATAATTTGCTTTTGTATATTAAATTGTTGTTGAAAACCCCTGCAAGGGTAACACTAAAGTAACTTTTGAACTCATACTCTTCCTTTTTTTTTAAAAGTGGGCCATCAAGCCCTGAAACATTGTTTCCTAGCTGGATGAACTGACTGGAAAACACTACAAAGACCCTGCAATATCACACCATCTACAATCTATATCAGCATGATGCCCAGTGTGAATAGAATGTTAATTTACACCTCATTTAATAGCTAAGGGTATGATGCTCTGCATACTTCTAGCTGTTGGATCTCCTCTGTCACTTACAACCTTCCATGACTAGGCAATAATAGAAATGCTGAGTCATGTAAATAACCAATGTGTGTATATGCGGTCACAGTCAATTACCAAGGACACTGGATCTCAGGACACATACCTTAACGAGCTTCATAAAATTTTCAATGGCCTTTTCCTCTCCCGGAAAAGCCTTTTTCAGCTCATCAATATAGGTCTGCATGCCAGCGTACATATTATATCGACGGCCATTTGTTACATCCCCAATTAGTACCACATCAAATGGGTCGTCCATTGGTGACCACTGCAACTGACCATCTGTCAGCTGATCCACCAATATCCGAAATGGTGATCGTTCATTGAGCTGACCAATGTAGTGTATTCCTGAGGGATAGAAAGCAATGTCAGACACATGTCAGACTTTCACCTAGAACAATAAAAGATATAAAAAGTGCCCATTCACTACATGGTCACCAAAAACACAGCTGAGATTTCTGGCTTTTGACTTAAACATGCCATTTGTGGCAGATCTCTCTTGTTTGAGCAACAGAGATTTCTAAGGACTCTTAAAAAGTTTAAAGATAGCATCATTATTATCCCTTGGCATATACGTGTTAACACAATTCTCATATGAAAATGAGATCACGATTGCCTGATTTAGCCATTTACAGCAGAACTGGGCAATAGTCCTTATTTTGAGTCTCTTACAGATCCCAGCAGCCACTGTTTGAAAAGAACTATCAATAGGCACGTCAACCAATTACATTTTCACCATTCCCCTCCTCAACAGTTTCCTCTATCTTCCGTATCAAATGAAATAAATTTGCCTGTACAGTCAAGATAAGCATGCAGATTTATGGCTCCATGTGACCGCTAAACCCAACAACCCCATCCTCACACTCACCCACATCAAACTCATAGCCTTTCTCATTGAAAGTATGGCAGCAGCCTCCTAGTTTTCCAAGCTGTTCAAGGACCAGCACCCGTTTTCCAGCCCTGGCAAGTAGTGCAGCCACTCCTTGTCCTCCAATTCCACTTCCGATAACAATGGCATCCAGTTTCTCTGGTACTTTTTCAGTAGAGAAAACTGCATAAAAGAAAACACAAAAAAATGTAATGAAATAAAAAAAAATTAGGGCGAGGGAAGGACAGAAAAATCTGTGGACGTCTTCAGTTATTTGTTTACCAAGGCATTCATACTGTATTTACCCACTTGGCCTCCGGAAGGTTTTACCTCCTTCATGACCAGGGCTTTTTTGCTATTCAACACTATGTTTAATTTAGCTGACAATTGTTCAGTCATGCAACATCGTACCCAAGTATATTTTTATAATTTTTTTTTCACACAAATAGAGCTTTCTTTTGGTTGTATTTGATCACTACTGTTTTTATTTGTTATTATATAAAAGGAAAATTTTGGAAAAATTATAGTTTATACTTTTGATTATAAAATACTGTATATCCAAAAAATAAAAAAAAAAAACCCAAAAAACCAAAACAAAAAAACAAACATTTCTTCATAAATTTAGGCCAAAATATATTCTGGTACATGTCTAGTAAAGGCTACAGAGCTTGGCTTTGGATACTTGGTCCCCTTGCCATGTCTTCAACCAAATCGCTCTTCTTGCCGTATTTAACAGGGCGGTAGATCTAGCTGTCAATTTGATAGTTTCCACTGAAGCGTCCACCATGAAGGCTACTGCTTTAGATAGCACCAGGAGAGATTTAAGAATCTGCTCCACCAATGTACCCTTCACCAGGTGGGCTTTTAGTTGGGACAACCATACATCAAGTGTGCAGGCCATGCAAGTTGTAGCCAATCTTGGCCTGAAGTTCGCTGCACAGGCCTCCCATGCTCGCTTGAGGTATCCCTCCACCTTGCAGTTCATAGGGTCCTTCAGTGCTCCCCCATCATCAAAGGACAGGTCAGATTTCCTAGATACCTTGGCCAAGGATGCGTCCAGCCGAGGGCATTTTTTCCATAAGTCAGAGTCCTCCTCCTTAAATGGGAATCTCCTTTTTCTATTGTTTGGAAGAAAGGCTCTCTTTTTTGGTTCCCGCCATTTCCTTAAAATGGTTTCCTTCAGTGTGGAATGTACTGGGAAATTGCAGACTTGCTTCTTCTGGAGCCCCACATAAAGTTGATTGTGGAGTGTGGGCACCTTTTCTTTTTCCTCAAACCCCAGTGTATCATGAATAGCCTTTAACACCTCCTCTGTCTCTTCTGTGAGGAATAAAAACTTCTGTGCTTTTTCTTCTCAGATTTCCCTTTCTTAGGATTCCTGTCTAGCTTGAGGAAACTGAGGGTCCATCACTGGTTTGCCCTTTTTAACTATTGTGGATCATGTGTTTCCTGTCTAGGTGGAAGGAGCTTATCTCTCGAGTAGCTGTCCTGGAAGATGATTAGGGAAAATCCTTATATTAAGTGTATATTAACTGGTTTGTGCGAACGTTATAGCATCTATAAACTATGGTGTATATACTGAAATTAATGCAGCTATAGGCGCTATTCTTGCAATGACAGTGTTCAACAACTTATATTGTGACTGTGATAGTGTTGTGGGTAATCTGGTGCTAACAGACACTGGCTGGGAGGGACACTAACTGATGTCGCTAGTCACAGTGATACAGTGATCAGTGCTTATACTGTACACTGTACTGACACTGGCTGGGAAGGGGTTAACATCAAGGGGTTACCTGTGTGCCTAACAAGTGTAATGTGTGTAATATGTGCTGCTTTTACTTACAGATCTGGCTGTTTTTTTTTCTCCCAGCTCTTCGGGGGAGAAGAAACAGCCAGATCATTGTTCTGTTTACATAGTGTTCTATGTGTTTGTAAACACAGAACTCTGTGCTATGATTGGACACAGCCGATCAGCATGATTCAGCTGAAATCATTGGCTGATAAACTCATGCTGTATCCAATTTATAAACATCCAGAACTCCATGTAAACAGAACAGAGATCTGGCTGAACCCGGAAGCAGGTGGCAACGTACATGTAAATTGCCAAGCCTGCAGCTGCCTCCCACTTGTGGTAGATTTATTGTGAGTGGGCGGAGAACAGTTAATATGGGATTGGTTTAGGTGAGGGCTCCTTACATGGCTGAACATACAGGATGCTTGTGTGCACTTGGGAGGTGCCAATGTGGAATTTTGGTACGTTGAGTTGTTTCCTTTTTTTTGTGCAAATTTATTGTAAATTCACAAAGCGGTAGATTACGTTGCACTAGGGTGCATTAAAATAAACACCGCATGCAGTACTTTTTTCATTGCACACTACGGCACCTCGGTGGCATGAGCTGGCATGGTAAGGAACAAGGCTTTTTCCCAGCATATTGCAAAAAAAAGGTAGCATATTAGTTACTAGTCCTTAGAGGAGGTGCCTGCATTAGTTTCTTTTGTTGAGTTTATCTCCCCTTTATTTTCGCTTGGTCATCCTGCACATAACATACTTCTGGGTGGCTACATTCACCTTCCCCCTATCTATAGAAGGAGCTATGGAGGTCACTAGGAAAGATACAAATCCAAACCTGTCTGAGCTATTCTGCTGGAAAGCTATGATTGGACAGCCAATCATAGGTGGTGTAGGCATTCCCTACCCTGTAGCTGCATGTATGCAAGGGGCGTAATGATTGGCTGTCAGCTTTTAAGGCTTCCTGGCAGGATAGCTCAGAAAGGTTTGGAAACACCCCTAAGCTCATTCGTAGTGGTCACCCAGGCTGGACTTCAAACAAGCATGTCTTTGTTCATTTCTGTTATATGTGGAGTGATGGGACTAGTAGTTTGCATAAGAACAAAAAATTGTTTGCGCTTCCAGATTTTCTCACAGGAGGCAAAAGGACAGTGCACTTCTGGCAAGATCAACATATACTTTCTGTATGTGTTAAAATGTTTTCAGGCTGAAAAATGAAAGCTAGGGGCTCATTCGCATGGATGCAGAAAGCTGAACACCATGAAAAATGAGTATCTCTGTGCCTGAAATTGACAGGTGTTCACATACTGTACAAATAAATGGCAGGCTGTATAATTGTAACTACCCATCCAATCTTTTGCATGTGTAGGGTCAGGTGAGTGGCCCTGAAAACTGTCCAGCAGTACACATTCATGCCTGTGCACAAGTGAACACTGGGATGTGCTGTTACCAGCCTGTCATTGTTACAGGTGGCAGTACACAAACAACTGTCACTTCCGGGTACAGGGATTTGCTCGTTTTTTCGAATCTGTGTGTTTTTGCGAATGAGTCTTAATGCAACCATGATACCCCAGAACTGATAAGTGACAATATATTACATTTTTGTTCTTGGGTTGGGTTGTGTGACCTTTATTTAAGGAGTGCCAGTGATTACCTCCATTTACTATACAGAATTCCAAAGTAGGAAACAGAGAAAAGGAAATATCTGTGATATGTACCGTGAGACAATCATAAATGAGTTTTACGTACCTTAAGTTCTTAGTCTTAAAGCAGCATTAAACCCAAGACCAAAAATGTTATATATTGCAGCTCACCAATCATTAGATGTTGTGACTGCGTTAGTTTTCTTTTTTAAGGGCCTGTTCACATCACAAACAAAAAAAAAAACTACAAAAAAGTTTACACCACACTCTGTTCGGTGCAGTTTGCTATGTTCCAGTATGGTTCTGTGCAGAAAAAATGCAGCATGTTCTACTTTTTTTTCTGCACCGGAAACTGACTGCACTGGTGTGAACTAGGGCCATTGGAATACATGGAAAACACTGTGCAGTAATTTTTGATGCACTGGACTGCATTTAGTGTGAACTAGTCCTTAGGCTCTTTTCCCTGGTGATCTGGCCAGTAACACACCTCGTAAACACTAAACATATTGAAGCCAAACTGCAACGAAGGCTCAATTCACACTGCTGCGACTTGGGATCTGACTTGTGAGACCCCAAGTCGCATAATATGTGAAATCCCATGTTAGTTAATAAGAGCACTACTGAAGTTGCTCCGACTTTAGACAAGGTTCCTGTACTACTTCAAGGCGACTTCCATCTGACTTGCCCCTAGAATTTAATGGAAGTTGCCTCTAAGTTGGATCCTCATCTATATTGATGTAATTTGAATCTGACATTAAATTCTCATTGGCCATAGGTAAAGTCACATGGCATGAAAAGCCGCTTCAAAATCACATCAAACTAGTACATCCAGTTGCCAGTAAATTTCCAGGAAGTCGCCTGGCAAAGTTGCACCGAAAGTCACGTGACTTTCAGGTTGCAGTACTGTAAACCAAGCCTCATACTTTTAGAACATTAGTTCACCTTTTGAAAGAAAAAAAAAAAAAGGTAAATTTTTTTATTTTGCATTTTTTTTTTATTTTTCAAAGAAGCTTGCAAAGCATTACACCTGTGATCAGCATGTCATGGGTGCAATGTCGAGCTCCTGGATAGCTGTCAGTCCGTACAGGTTGGCAGTTACAATTCATCTCACAGGAGGTGACAATGATCAATGAACTTCCAGAACGCTCAGCAGCGCCCTCGTAGTTCATTGAGATCTACAAGCCATCAGCTGCAATGGCTGACTGTACTTGTAATCTATTCATTCACAGAAAACTGTGAATGAATGACATGACCATGTGGGCAGAGCCACGTTTGGCCATGCTCTTTTGAAAAAGTGACAGCACGTGTGAGGAAAAGATCCCCTGCCCACTGTCGGCAGGACCTGGAGTAAGCAGCAGTAGCTGGAACATGTTCCACGTTCCACCCTACATGTAACATATTCAAAAAGGTGAACTTATCCTTTAAGCAGTTGCAGCAACAGCAGCATCAGTTTTTTTTCTTTTAGGATAAAGGTTTTACATAAATGCTGTTTATTGTAAGCACCCCTATCAGTTGTAAATGGTTTGTCTCAACACTCTAAGTGCTACATCTTCAAGACAGCTTGTTCTGTTGAAAAAACGACAGACTTACTGGCCAGATCACCAGGTGAAAATAAAGGAAAGAAAGCCTAAAAAAGAAAAAAAATTAACATCTAAGAATTGGTAATCTGAAATATAATAAATATTTGCTTTTGTGTTTAACCTACTGAACCTCGATAATTTATATATGTTTACTTTAAAAAAAATTGGAGAAGTGAAATATTTTGCCCCGATTGCAGAAAAAGTTGATAAAGGTGAACTTGATGAATGTTCACCGTTTTGTTATTCCGCTGTCCTTGGGTCCCTACTCGTCACATGATTGGGACAAGTGCCAGACTGTTCTGTACACACCAACCCCCACAGAAAAGCATCTACTGGAACAAATGTAACAATCTGGGTAATAATAACCTACATCACAGATCAGAACACAGGAAGAGTCATTCATTTGCAGTTGATGCCTTAATTACAGAAATCCCTGACAACAGCCAATGGGGGACTATCAGGGTTATAGCACTAAAACCGGTTTAATTGATGATTAAGGTTTACTTAACAATTCAGTACAAAGGTTAAAAGATTCATTCCGGTTAAACGATCACCCTGCCCTGTTGCTCTTACCATTCTTAATCACCTTTCTCTTGGCAGCTTTATCAAACACCACCGGTCCTGGGGGTCTCCTGGTGTCCCTAGCCAAAGGATTGGGTCCTCGGCCCCCCAGCCAGGACTTGAGGATGATGAGGATGACAGCGAGCCCGAGGATCACATAGAGCCACATGCCTGCTGAATGTCTCCTGTTTGAAGCTGAGTTCTGTCTTTTGTATACACACAGAATGGGCAGGACTTCCTCCTGCTCTGACTCCTCCTGTGCCTGACAGCAACAGAGGACACAGGGCACTGGGTGTAGAGAACAGATTAACTGCTTGATTGCAAGTGCCAAATGATAAAATGGACTATCTCGGCACCCAAAGGACAACACAGTCCTAGAAAACAATAAAAATTTTTATTAGCACACGAAGACTTTTTTGATCAGACATGTATATTAATCTATTCTAAAATCACAAAGATTTAACAGCTCTTAGATTGTAAACTCCAAGGAGCAGGGCCCTCCTAACCCTCTTGTATTGAACTGTATTGTTGCCGTATCGGTTCCCATTATATTGTAAAGCTCTGAGCAAACTGTTTTTTGTTTTATAAATCCTGAATAGTAATAATAATAATAACAGCATGGTCTCATAATTCATAGAGGTTATGGTTGTTACAATTCCACCCCCGATAGGAGAAAATGTTGACTCCTCTACATGTAATCCGCGTCCTCGGGAGAAAAAGTCAAAAACTACTCTGAATAGAATCATAACAGGCAAAATAAAATATCTCATAGGGTTTCAAGTGACACATGTTACATATTGATATCTCAAAATCCACAAATAAATTGCTTATCAATGTGAGCTCATGCCAATTGGAAAAGGCCAAACAGGGGCACCAGCGTGTCTCTCCCATGGCGGCCACGAGGGGCAAAATGATAGGCACGGTGGCAGATGATTTTTTAAATTTTTTTATGTTTTTTCAGTCGCATGGGTGGTTTATCTGCCACTGTCAGGGGTGTATTTGCCACAAGGCAAACAAGGCATTTGTTTAGGGCAGTATTTTTTAGGGGGGCAGCACTGCCCCCTGGAAGAAGGGACATATGCGGCATGGGGACTAGGTGGGATCCGAGAGAGGCTGCGGGCTGCTTGATGGTGTATGCAGAGCCCGATAGTCGTTCCTGGGGATGTCCAAAGCTGTGAAGGTGAGTGTCTCTCTCTGTCACTGGGGGGGTGTTAGTGGAAGGCTCTTTCGGGTGGGGGTATGGGGCAGGGGTGTTGTTGGTCACTGGTGTTGGTCGGTGTTAGGTTCTCTCCACCGGAGAGAGGAAGTATCTGATTTTTGTGTTGCCTAGGGAAGCACAAAACCTAAATACACCACTGGACACCATGCCCATTATTTTGCCCCCTGTGGCCACAGAGGGGGAAACATACTGGTGCCCCTGTTTGGCCTTTTCCAATTGGCATAAGCTTACATGCCATGCTCTCTGGTTTTCCACAGTACACAGAACATGGAAATTCAAATATTTTGGTAAATATAAACTGCTAAACACCTTTTCTCATCAGCAGTATACAGTGAGGAACAGAAATATTTGAACACCCTGCGATTTTGCAAGTTCTCCCTCTTAGAAATCATGGAGGGGTCTGAAATTCACATTGTAGGTGCATTCCCACTCTGAGAGACAGAATAAAAAAAAAATTCAGGAAATCACATTGTATGATTTGTAAAGAATTTATTTGTCTTGCACTGCTGAACATAAGTATTTGAACGCCTAAGAAACAGCAAGAATTCTGGCTCTCAAAGACCTGTTACTGTGTCTTTAAAAAGTCCACCTCTACTCCACTCATTAATCTAACTTAGTAGCACCTGTCTGAGCTCTTTAAAGACACCTGTCCACCCCACAGTCAGTCAGACACCAACTACTACCATGGGCAAGACCAAAGAGCTGTCAAAAGACACCAGAGACAAAATTGTGGACCTCCACAAGGCTGGAAAGGGCTACGGGGCAATTGCCAAGCAGCTTGGTGAAAATAGATCAACTGTTGGAGCAATTGTTAGAAAATGGAAGAAGCTAAAGACGACTGTCAGGCTCCCTCGGACTGGGGTCCATGCAAGATCTCACCTCGTGGGGTATCACTGATGATAAGAAAGGTGAGGAATCAGCCCAGAACTACAAGGGAGGAGCTGGTCAATGACATGAAGAGAGATGGGACCACAGTTTCAAAGGTGACTGTTGGTAGAACACTACGCCGTCATGGTTTCAAATCATGCATTGCACGGAAGGTTCCCCTGCTCAAGTCATCACATGTCCAGGTCCGTCTTAAGTTTGCCAATGACCATCTGGATGATCAAGAGGAGGCATGGGAGAAAGTCAAGTGGTCAGATGAGACCAAAGTAGAACTTTTTGGTCTAAACTTCACTCATTGTGTTTGGAGGAAAAAGAAGGATGAGTTGCATCCCAGGAACACCATCCCTACTGTGAAACATGGGGGTGGTAACATCATGCTTTGGGGGTACTTTTCTGTGAAGGGGACAGGACGACTGCACTGTATTAAGGAGAGGATGAATGGGGCCATTTATTGCGAGATTTTGAGCAACTACCTCCTTCCCTCAGTCAGAGCATTGAAGATGGGTCGTGGCTGGGTCTTCCAACATGACAACGACCCGAAGCACACAGCCAGGATAACCAAGGAGTGGCTCCGTAAGAAGCATATCAAGGTTCTGGAGTGGCCTAGCCAGCCTCAAGACCTAAATCCAATAGAACATCTTTGGAGGGAGCTGAAACTCTGTGTTGCTCAGCGACAGCCCCGAAACCTGACAGATCTAGAGGAGATCTGTGTGGAGGAGTGGGCCAAAATCCCTGTTGCAGTGTGTGCAAACCTGGTCAAGAACTACAGGAAACGTTTGACCTCTGTAATTGCAAACAAAGGCTTCTGTACCAAATATTAACACTGATTTTCTCAGGTGTTCAAATACGTCTGTTCAGCAGTGCAAGACAAATAAATTCTTTAAAAATCATACAATGTGATTTCCCGAATTTTTTTTTTTAATTCTGTCTCTCAGAGTGGGAATGTACCTACAATGTGAATTTCAGACCCCTCCATGATTTCTAAGTGGGAGAACTTGCAAAATCGCAGGATGTTCAAACACTTCTGTTCCTCACTGTATAGCAGTCTTGTGACTTCTATCAGTGTCCAGTCGAGCACTGGTTCAAGGTTATAGGAGGAGTTTTCATTCTCCTGTGACTGTCCCATTAGGCTACATGACCCCTGACCCTCTGTCTGGACAGTGCTGATTGGCCCTATGCTGATCACATGAACCCTCTGGGGAAAAAAAAAAACACTCTAGCCATACACACTAAACTGAGCATGTGCAGAGTAACTCCTAGAACTCTGTATCATCAGGAGAAAGATTGGGGAAAGCAAAAGAAGGGGAGGATCAGAAGAAGTCAGGATCAAACTGCCTTTTTACACAATGCGGAGGATGAACCGCTTAGGTTCCACAGTGAGTATAACAAGCATGCTTTACTGTATATGCAGACTGATTTTACTGTTGTGGGTTTAGTAACACTTTAAGCATGCTGACTTTTAATAAACACACACTTACCTGTCCCAGGGTCCAGCGATGTGCTCACCCAAGCCGTCCCTTCTCTCCCTCTTTTTTCCCTAGCTCCGGTATCTCAAGTGTGGGCACAAGGCTGTAAAAGCAATCATTTCTCCTTCTCTCTGGCTGCATTCCTGCAGCCATTGAGAAATACTGTGAGAGCTGTGATTGGTCACAGCTTATCACATGGTACAAGGCTGTTGTGAATAGCCTTGTACCATGTGACCTCTGTGATCATGCACAGATTTCACAAGTAGTAAGCAATGATGTGAGGACGTGACATCTTGTTTACTACTATTCATGTGACCACTGACTGGCCAATCAGTGATAACATGAATCGAGACCTCACATAGAGGTCCCGTACAGTGATCCCAGGGAGCGCGCACAGGCAATGGATGCGGGGGGACGTTTAGAAACATCCACCCGCAGGAGCTTCTTTTGAGGTGACAAACACGCATAGGGCAGCCCATTCAAGTAAATGGGCTACTCTATGCGACATGCAGAAACGTGAAAATCACAATGAAAAAAAAAAATCGCATAGTGGGAAGGCTCTGAGATAATGTGACCGGGGCCTTAAGTACAGTGAAGGACACTTCGGTTGCATAGGATTCATCTTGTTCACTGAATTTCTACACTTTGGTAGTGATAATATGTAGGTGAAAGGTTAGTAGTTCTTGCAAATGTGAATGGCACTAGGTAACCTCGTGGCCTTTCACCTACTTTATAGACTAACGTATGTGAGCAGTATTATGGGATGATTTTGTCAGCAGATCATCAGGCACAGAGCCAGCAGTATACTATGCAGACTATTCCCTACAAATAGATTGGACCTGCTACCATTTGACTTAGTTACTCTTCATAAAATACTTTGCTCATAAAAACACTGAACTTCAAACCTGTAATAAATAGATGGTCAGTCCGCCCTGTGAGAACAGGTAGGCATCGATAACCTGAATAAACCATTGATGTATAAATCCTGACTTCCCACCAGAGATCCTGTCCTGGACTGTGTAAGAGGGTATCCTAGTAATGTTGGGGGTACACATCCAAACCTGCCATATAATCATGAGAAAGTGCAAAGACCTTTTAAAGGGGCCACTTAATTGTTCATTATTATCTGGCAGATTAGGTGTACACATTAATGTAGCCTGTAAGTACAGGAATTTCCAAACTGTATGTATCTAAACACAAGGACAAAAATGTAATATAGTGCAATAGTCCCTTATTCATCTCGTTTGTCTTGTATTTTAACCTTGGGATCCTAGTGACATCACTGACCCTAGCCATGTCCATATATGGACATTGATGTCACTTGGGAGACCCACCCCTTTGTATATCTGCTATCATCTGCTGGGCCTGCCATTTGGCAGGAGTAAAATGATTGGCCTGGATGTGTTCATTGGTTCCAGTGGTTTGGCACCATGATTGACATGGATCTACAGTACATCACTGAACAACATGATTGACAATGAATTTACATTGTAGGACATTTTGTAGGATTTTCCTTTATTAATGGACTTGTCAAAAACTGTCCCTGTTGTTTTTTTTGGGTTTTTTTTTACTGTTTACATTTATTTTGTGAATGAGTAGGAGTACTATGTACCCTTTACTCATTCACATAGGGGGATGCTGGTGCCTGGGGGCCGCTTTTTATTAAAGGAGGCTTCCAAATTCCAATAAGCCCCCCACCTGCATTCTTCCACAACCATTGAGCCAGGGTTGTGGGAAAAAGGCCCATGTTCTCATCGACAAGGTGCTGGCAGGATACCCTCCAATGTTGAGGGCATGTAGTCTGGATTTGGTTCAAGAGAGAGGTGAACACTCATCTCCCCCTTTCCTGGCCTGCAAGGCTACATGCTCTAATAAAGGTCAGGTATAGATTTTTCTGGGGAGATCAATCTAATTTGTTTTTGCAGGGGTCCGCCTTTAAAATTCATTCCAGACTTGAAGGACCTGGTATGAATTATAGGGGAACCTCCTATGCTGTTTTTTTAAAACAATATACCCACCCCTTTGCTTATATGGCAAGGGATTTCCAGACATGTAAGTGAATGGGACCAAGTAGCGTCATGTGTTATTAATGACTTGGCTATGATGCATGTACCGGCATTCTTAACAGCCAAGGACAGCTGGAAGCTGTCATCTATATTATAGGTAGTAATGTGTGCCCGAACACAACCTTCATCCCTAATTGCTTATGCTCCTTATTATGAAATATATTAGGGAAGTTCTTAGCTCCACAACCCACATTAGGTGGTAGGGCAGCTATAATGACTGATTCGGGGACAAGGATGGCTGAATGTATGATATACCCACCACCCTCTGGCATGGACTACCATGCAAGACACCATCTTTCAAGATACATGGCTGGACACGTCTGGAAGCAGCTGTACAGATTGTATTCCCATGATGTGCTGATTCCAGCGCCAACAGGATCTGGAAGAATTTATTTCTCTTCAGGTCATATTAGAAATAATTGGATCAGGGGCGGACTGACCATTTGGAAACTCGGGCACTGGTACCTTTTTCATAGGCTTTTTTGAGTTTGGGCAAGGACACAGGGGCCCCATGATCCTCTATTGCCCGGGGGCCCCATGAGTTGTCAGTCCGCCCCTGAATTGGATCAACAATAATTGATCAGCATGGCTAAAGATTACATAAGTTATGCCCTTACCAGTTATGTTACTCAATGGTTCAGATGGAAATCCATCTACGTTTTATCTCCTATGAGGGTTATCTCCTATGAGTGCTAGCACCATCTAGTGACCATAAAGCAGTATTTTCCTGAAATACCGTAAGCAAAGAAAAAAAAAAAACACATTATGGATACTAGATGAAGCGGATGATCATAGAAAAGAAAAAACATTACAGACAATACATATAACTTTCTTAATGCCCATGCATATAGTTAAGAAATTTGTAAATGTTTTATACATAGACTACTATGTGTCTCATTAAAAGTATGTTTTTAACACAGTGGAATTTTGTCCAAATCTTCATACTTACATAAAAAGGATTTTGTTGTAGTCTGCTCTTATAACTACCCCTCTCTTCCCACCTACTTGATGGATGTCAGACAAAACAAGAAGAGGTGTTCTCAATGGGGAAACAGGAAGCATTTAAAGTGTATGTAAAAGCAAAACTCCTTTTATATATTGCAAAAGGGGCAAACGCTCTGGTGACAACCATCTGATATGGGAATTCACCACACTTTGGAGATAATCCATTTCTAAAACAAATTCAATAAATAATGTCCATGGCCTATGCCCTTTATTAGGATGTATCACAATCCCTGTTACTTAGACAAGAGCACATTCAAAAGCGGTTGTTCCTCCCAGACCAGTGCCTCCATGGCAGCCCACTGAAATTGGGAAGGCCAAAAAGTGGGGGAGGAAGAGTCTCTATGACCTTACTCCTAATTTTAGTGAAACATCCTCATTACACCTGTAGTGTGGAATACAAAGACTCTAACCTTGGAGGCACTGGCATGGGAGGAATACCATAACACCAATATCAGACAAAATCACTTCTATCCACTAAAGGAGTACCTATATAATGTCTACAGAGACATTATCAATTACAGACTCAAGGTGTGACATGCAATCAATTAATCCAGTTAGAATACAGCAAGAAATGAAGGTGGATGAAGATGGGATATACATTTGATCTAACATAAATTTGTATAGTTAAGTATGGGAAACTGAAAAAAGATATCCCATGTGACCTCTAGTGGGTTGTCTGCTTTTGGCATCTGTGGTACAAGACACATGTAGCTTTTAATAGTGGGGTTGGCTGGCTATAGCCCTAACATTTATTCATAGTCTCCTGAAGAAGTCAACATTGTTCATGAAACATGTACAGAGTTGTACTTCTATTACCCACTTTCAGTCCTTAGGCCATTTATAAACGGACTATGGGTGAAGTGGTTATACTAGGGTTATGGTTGAGGCTACAACCATGATCCTGGTATTGGTTTTTTTCAGCAGGTGATTCCCTACAAAGAAAAAGTAATCTGCATGGCTATAGAACTTCTGGATTACTTTTACAGGTGGTGGAAGGGATTAAATATCCCCAAATATTCTATTATATGGGTTGTATCACTTGCCCCCTGATTGTCTATCTTTATGTTGTCTTTCTGCATTTTTTTTTTTAATCCAAACAAATTTTATTGTCAAGATAGAGAGAATGGAATAGTACTTACAGAATCCACAATAACATTACTGCAACAGCAGGAGTACACATAAACAGAACAACGTGGATATGCAGATCCCATAATAAACAGAAATGGTAATCAAACAAAACAGAGACCACAAAGATACAAAACTTTGACAATACCTTGTTTTTTCCTTTTTATGTCTTATTCCTTCCCATCCAGATGTAAACAGAAATGGGGGAAAGGAACAAAGCCCAAAACATGTCTTCAAACAATAGAAAAAAAAACAATCATCAACAACAATCTCTGGTTCACCTGAGACATGTCATCAAAAAGAATGGAAAATGCACATGAACTCCCCCAGGGGGAGGAGTGGAGCCACGCACCTAATATAAAATATCACACCTGTAGAAGTCGGTCCACTATCAAATGAGGAGGGGAAAGCATTGCGGTGTTGGTATGTGAGTTTCTCCCGTGGGAGTAATGAATTAATATAATCTATCCATTATAAATTATTTTAGCGCTGCACAATTATCTTATCTTAATAATCTATGCATTGCTTACTAGTTGGAGGAGCCGATGATAACCAATACTTCGCTATCAACTTCCTAGCCAGATATAAAAGTCTAGATACCATAATATACCCTCCTGGTTGGAACAGTTCTTAGTCCAGTGCCCCAACAGACAATGCAAGGGATCCTGGGGATCAGTATATTGCGATACTAGAGAAATAAATTGGAGGACCTCACTCCAATATCTATGCAACTTGGGGCACCGCCAGAGCATATGAATTAAATCATCCTGTTGGACCCTACACCTTGGACAATCAGGTGAATTCCGGCTGCCCCATCGATACAGTTGCACAGGGGTCCTATACGCTCGATGGAGAATAAACAATTGAGACAATTTATGAGAGGAAGAAAGAGATATTCCCAGAAAAGATTCCAGGGCAGCATCCTAGACATCGCCAGCAAGCTCTCCAATATCCTGGGCTCACTGTGCCTTGCTCCGGAGACTAGCTTGATCCTGTACTGTGGACAATAGCTGGGCGTATACCCAAGAGATGAAATACAAATTTCAGGCCTCGATCCCTCCAGTCATGGAAAACCTCCAGT